GGAGGAGGGGGGGTGCGGCGCGCCGTTGGAGGGAAGTCACCGCCTCGAACGCGCCGCCGAGCCGCCATGCTGACGCGCACGCGACATCCGCGTAATCGGATGATCGTACCTCCGGCTGGTTCTTCGCGAGCGTAACCAGGAGCTCCTCCGGTGCCCACCGTCGCCAGGAACACCATCCACCGCTGGTCCAAGTCCGAAATAGGACTCTCCTCGAGAGGCTCTCTTGGCTCTCAGGTCGGATCAGGTTAGGCCAATTTGCCGCGCAGGTATCGCGAGCTTCCTTTCTGGCGTCTCGAGGCTCGTCGAGATCACTCTCGCGAAGCAAGCCGGGCTATCGCCACGAAATCCTCGGTATGAGAGACCGGCGACTTTCCTCGTTGCCTCTCTCTCTTTTTTTTTATTGCTTTCCAACAAAAGACGCAAGATGACGGACAAGTTTAGTCGTGTCATCCACTGCGATTTTCTTTACCGAGTGCGAAATAAGGACGAACGACGGTATAATTAGACTTGTGTCGATTCGCGTCTCTTGCTGGAAAGCAACCTTTGTATTGAGCACGGGGAAAAGAACTTGGTCGAATTTACCAGACAGTGAACGAACCAAGTGTGTTTCGGTTGAAAGAAACGAAGTTTCTGGTTTGTAAGGACCAAATTTGGATAAATAAAAAAATGTTGTTTCTTTCTATCGGAGGCGCTGGTCTTTTCACTGTAAATTCTGGTAAATTCCAAACTTTTTTTCCCGTGGGTGGGACGACGGCGCGATTTTCTAAAAGCGCGATCTTTTAGAAAGGAAACGAGGAACTCGTTTCGCCGAAAACCGCTTTCGAGTCGGACAGGGCTCTACGGTCAACCGTGTACGACAATACGCTGGTTTAACTTTGCCCTTTATCCGTTATTCCATCTCGAACGCGCGGCGTACTGTAGGACAGTGAAACGGACAAGGGATCCCCGCTGTTCGCCCATGTGCACGCTAATATCGAGCTCGCCGGCGGTGGAAATAACTGTAACGCGTCCCACGTTTGCAATAAACGACGTTTCGACGCGGCGGAGTTACGAGCAAAGTTGGCGCTCGACCTCCAGTGCCGTAGTACCCAGGCGGCAGAAATTTCGAAAAAAATCTGTCGAAGACGTCCGAAGGCGCGTTCCATTTCCCTTCAAATATCTCTCGCGCATTCTTATCTTTCATCTTCGAAAAATCTGTCCTGCCGAAATACACGCGCAGCAGCCAGGGATGTGCATCGCGGGCGGGAAATTTGGGGAGCCGAGGGTTGATTTTCCGCAGAATCGAAGGGAAGTGGAGTACTGGACAATATCTATCTGCCGAAACGGGTCCGGCGAGCGAACTCTCCCGCCGTTTAATTACGCGACTAATTACCGGCCGATCAGCGCCGAGCGCTTTCTCGCGGACCAGCTTGGCATTTTCGCGCGCCGTAGGAGAAACCCGTCGTCGCCTCGGCGCGCTCCGGAGCGAAGACTCGCACTGGCGAAAGGGGCGGCGGCCTCGGCGGGGCCGTGGCCTGCNGGGCGCGCCAGGGGCGGCGCGCGGCGGTGCCGGCCCGACGCGACGGTGGGGCCGCGGCCGAGCGAGCCGTAGTCCGCAGTCGCAATTCGGTCGCTCGACGGTGCAGATGTCGGTGGTGACGCCGCATTTGCGTCGCACGCAATCTCCTCCGGGTCTACCGGAAGTGTAGTACCGCGCCTCCGGCTGAAAAGTTCAATCCCGGTTCCTCGTGCCGCGTTCTCGCGCTCTACATCCCGTCGGTTTCTCGTCGGCGCGTCGCTCCAGCGGTCGCCGGGAGTTTCACCGAGTTTCGGAAGCCCGGACGGATCCAACACCGTTCGTGAACGTCGGACTATCCGCGTCGCGACGCGATACTCGTCGCGTGGAGGAGCCGACGAGCGGAGAAGCGAGGCTCGCCCGTTCCGCCCGAGGACGCTCTCTCGACGAGAGCGCGGCTTTAAGCTGCGCCCGGCTCGGCGCCTGTATTAAAGAGGGATATGCCCGAAGCGAGTTGACGCTTCGCCGACTGACAGCCGTGCTGCGCTCGTCGCCGTCCCGGAGCGACGGGGGACGCTCACCTGGGCTGTGTCCTGGCGAGATCGTGAAGGGATGCGAAGCTGCCGGGGTGGACACGTCGCGTACGTCGGCCTGACGACTTCGTAAGCGCGGCTCTGCCTTGCGCGACTACGACCGCCCGTGCAAGATGTAGGCTTGCTGAGGTGCCGCCGTGTGCACCTTCGTCGCGAACGGTAGGCGACGACCGGTTCGTTCCTCTCGCCCGTTTCTCGCGCTTACCGTCACGCCGATTCTCGTCACGCTCGTCGTCGTCGCTCCGACGACTGTCTCCGTCTTTCTCGAGTGTGCTGGTGAACGTCGTCGCCGAGCAGTGGTGCCGCGCCGGGGAACACGATAGAGGCAGCGCCGTCGTGGCAAGCGATCCTGTCGGCCGCTCGACTACGCTCGTTTCCGGTGCGATGTGAAACCAGTGAAACCACCTCTCCAGTGTGTAGCCACCCGACGACGACTCTCGCTCTCGTCGCGCCAGGATGATGACGAAAGGCTGTCGTCTGTCGGACGCGTTCGACTAGTCGTCACAGTGGAGTTCTGCTTAATCGCAGGTAATTTCCGCCGCCGTCGGTCAACGGGACGCGGCTCTTCACCCCGAGTTTCCGGACGCGAGATTAACCTCCTCGCGTGCCTTCGTAATAACGCGAGCGTCTGCTAATTCGACGGGAGACGTGGTGCGACTCGGGTCGCGAAGGAGCCGAGCGCGCTCCGGTTTGCTTCGCGACGATTACACCGCGGCTTTCTCGCCTTTCTTTCCTCTCTTTCGGCCGATATGCACGAGTATTCGCGAAGCGTCGGGAGACTCCGCGCGGGGTGCTGCCGATCCTCCGGAGTGTTAAGCCCGCGGGAGTTTTACCAACGTCGCCAACTCCCAGGGTAAAATCGGGCGGACCGGTTGCGTACCGGGGAAAATATGACTATCGCTGTTTTTAGTTACTCCGGAAGGTCGGAAAGATTACGGTTCTCTCGGTTTAACGACGGTTTCGAAACACACAAATGCTCTCTTTTTCCCTCTGTCTTTCTCCTCATCTCGTCAACAACGCTCGTGTTAGGTAAATAGCACTCTGCTCTTTTATCTGGCGAGTTTCGCAAGTATAGTTCAGAGATCCGCTTGATACCGGAACGTCCGACATTCTTGTACAAACTTCGCGACGTTTCAAAACCGGTGTCACGCTGCTCCCGAGATAAGCGAGAGAGAACGTCCAGTCCGTTGTGCTGTCATCGATTGTCGAACCACCGCCGAGCGAATGTATTTTCGCACTCGTGTCCGCTGCGAGAAGACGGCAGTTGTTTCCCCCGTAGCGAGCGTTCCCCTGAAATCGGCCGTCGTCGTTTCACGATGCGAGACAATCGGCCCTCGGGTCTCACCCAGGGGCGTGTGGAATCGTAAAGAAAAGGAATCGCCGGTCTCTCTCTTTTTCTCTCTCGGCACGGTCGTTTTGGATTTTACCCTGAAACTGGGCCGCTCGTTGCCAATTTCCTCGGGTCGGCTCCTGCCGCGACTTTTGCGAAATAGGTGTGAGAATGGGCGTACAATTGCCTGGAAGGACCTTACGGGTTTTAGCGCGTTTATTTTAAGAAGGCCGACGTAGGAGAAAAAGGTGCACGGTTGGAAAGAGCGTGAGAGGTGGGGGGGAGTGGACAGACAAGATAGATTTGTCACGGTCCGGGCTAAACCTCGCCGGAGGACGCCCGAGGAAAGTATGTACCGAGGCTGTGTAGCGACGCAACTTGCGAGTTGATTCGACAACAAAAGCGAGATTTTCGAGTGAAAGTTGATAAATTCGCGAGACGCGACTAAGTTCCCTCCGCGGCGTAAGTTCGATAACAGCGCGCGGGCTGTTACGAAGGTTCAAGAGTGGATTACATAAGTATAGGAAGCGAGTAGATATATTTGAATGAGAGCGCGATGTGCTGTCGACAACATCACGTGGAAGCGTCTCTCCAAGGAGGACTCAAAGACACAGTGAGAGAGAGAGAGAGAGAAGATTTGCGAAATGTTGTGGCGCGACGTAGACGTAAACAAACATTAACTGGAATTGTATTTGCCGATACAGTTAGCGCAATTCGTCGCGTTAATTCTTCCGGTATCAACGGGCGTTCCGTGATCGAAGGGAAATCGCCTGATAGAAAATGGGAAACTGGAAAATGAGCAGTTAGGCCGATCCCTGTTTCTGTTTTTTTCCTTTGTTCATCGAGTAATGGTGCCGTCGAATGCTCAATCGCGTCATCTGTTCGATCGCACTTGTTCGTTATCGTGCGCAATCTACCTCTGTAAGGTCAGGTTAAGTTGGCACTAGTTACGCAAGAAGGATCCGACCCACATGGAATACGTTTCGAGGAAAATGAAAGTGAAAATTTGACACATGATTTAGGTCTTTCATTTTCTCGCTAACTTGTGGTTCGGGCTTAACCCGGTGATAATGTAAACATTGTTTTTCTATTCATGGTTAATCATTGAACATTAGAAGTTACTGCTACGAAATAATTCGTATAAGGATTAACCGTGAATAGAGAAACACGATTTTTATATCACTATCACTTGATTTAAGCCACAAGTTAACCAGAAAATGAAAAACCTGACGTAAAAGATATAAATAGCACTGAGATTCTTCACAATCGTTCACGAAGTCGAGCGTGATCTATTCTCTTTTTAAGGGTATTCATTGTCAAGCGTTAAAAAATAGGTTAAAAAGACTAACAACTAGTAAAAATGGTACAAGTGGTTGACAATAAAAACTGTTTTTTCCTCAATTTTAAGCGCCCATAAGGCTTGGATCTTTTTACGTAGATAGGTCTATCCATTGGTAACAAAATCTCAAAAATCATAATTTTATGGTTTGGATCTTTCTTGCATAACTAAAGCGGCCAATCGGTGTGTTTCGGTTGCGTCTTCGTGAATGGAGCCTCGTTGTAATTCGGCGTCGTGAACTCCCGTAAGATCATTACAGATCGAAGCGACGACGATCGGAGTTGAACGGAGTCGAGGAGACGCTCCCGGGGATGTTTACGTGTTGCGTACAGGGAAGCAGGAAAAGCGGGAGGCAAAGGACGGGAAAGAAAGATCGGCCATGATTCCGACGACGACGCCCGATCGGGACGGCAAAAATGCGTGTATCGTGGAAAATTCTGTGGGGAGAGGAGAGGGGGAAGAAGCGGTAAAAGTTCAGCGAGCTAAGCGAAAACACAGCAAAACGTGGTGCCGGCTGTGTCGAAGCAACAGCAGCGCCAAGAGAGAGAAAGAGAAAGGAGACATTCGTCGCGCGCGCTGCAGTTACAGCGACGAATGTCTCCTCGACCTCGGAAGCGAGAGGTTTTTCGCCTTTCCGATCCGACGTAAATTTATTTATGAAGACCCCCCACACAGGGTTCTCTCTTCTTTTTGTCGGGCCGGATAGATGACGAGCGAGCGGATTGTTCCTTTTCTTTTCCGTGCGACGTGCGACAGAGACGAAAAGAGTTACGACAAACGTTAGACAGAAGAGCCGATAATGTTGGACTCCGTCATTTTCGGCCATCTGCCGCAGCAATTTTGCGGCACGCCAAAGAGAGAAAGAGAGAGAGGGAGAGAGAGGAATCGGCTTCCTCTACATGTTAGAAGATTGTTTCGGTAGTCGTCTCGATAGGCTATACTTTGGCCCAAACGTGATTCCACTGCAAACATTCTTTACGCGTCGTCCATAATTCCTCTCTCTTCTTTTTCCTCTTTTCTTCTTCTTCTCTTCCNCCCCCCCCCCCTCTCTCTCTCTCTCACTCACTCTCTCTTTCTCTCTCTCTCTCTTTCTCTCTCTCTCTCTCTCTCTCTCTATCTATCTATCCCCTTTCCCCTTTTAATTCTGCTTGATTTCCTGGTTCACGGCGGGAAGAGAGTCGTCGGGAAACTTTTACCGATATACTCATTAACCGCTATCTACGAGGAATTTTGCTTTATCGGCGAGACACTGTCAGAATTGATTTCCAGTACTCGTATTAGAAGTACTCGCTTTTCCCAACTGTTTTTACCACGATCGAAGAATATGTATATTTTCTCGAAATATGAAGGAGAGATATAGTGATGGTAGATGAGTAAAGTACGTAGCAAGAGAGATATATACACAGAGAAAAATTAGTTCAGTCTAAATTAAGAATAGATATTCTCATATATAAACAAGAATATTATAATCTTCCTAGAAGATTTTTAGTCTTAATTCGATTGAATTTATATTGATGCAAATATCGCTTGCACTCAATTCAAAGCTAAAAATCTCCTAAGAATATTATAATATTCTTGCTTATATATGAAAATATTTATCATCGATTTATATATATATATATATATATATATATATATAACATTTTTCTGTGTAAATACTTTGACTGTGACAAAAAAGTCGAGAAAAATGAGTATCATTCAATTCACGAATATATACATGTACAAACATATATGTATATACATATATATCACGTGCTCGACGGAAACGCGTGCTTATAGTCGGCAAACCAAACTTCCGCGGACCTCGGAGCCGGAAAACTCGCTTTAAAAGGTTTACTCGGCTTATGCGTGATTCCTTCCGATGCGTGAATCTTTTGTTCAAGCAGAGGACGGTCGTGCGAGCGGCGAGTACCTCGCGAGTAAACGGTCGTGCCGCAATGTTTTTATTACGCTGTCCATTGATATAAATAAAATTACGCTGAAATAACACACACACAGACACACACACACACTTGTACGCATTATATTCTTCGTCTGACTGAAGTATAAAAATACCGTGTAACGCGTTTCACGCATTTTACACGTTGCGTCGGATCTTTTTATTTGCGTTGTAATTCTCCCGCGTTTAAACAAACAATAGCGTTAGATGCTGACGTCGAATAATTTCTCGCGATAACTTTCGCGTAAAATGTTTCTGCATAGAGCAATTAATTGTACCAATAATCCCGATATATCGCGGGCTACATTTGAATATCCAGCGAGTATCTCGCCGCTGTATTGGATTATTGTTAACAATATACCGATGTACGAGATGGGGGGAGGACGAGTTGTCCCTTTCTCTTTTTTCCGCCTCCCCCGATGTCGGACGTGCACAGGATATACCGACGTTAATCCGACTTTTTAATTAAATGCAAAGCGAAGTTTAGCACGGCTCTCGATGAGCCCGGACGAGATGACGTTCCGATTTCGAGTCACCGGGGTATAAATCGTCACGGATCGCTCGATCATTTCCGGTTTGAGGCATGATCGATGGCGCGCAGTATTGATAATTTATTACAACGCGTGCGCGCAGCGCCGCTAAAAATGTGAAGAAACTTTATCCCGCGGTCTCGTCGGTCTGCATATTTGCGTGATTTGCATTTAATGCGATCTTCATGTTAAACGGGTAAATCTCGGAAGTGAACGGTAACATTTAACGCGACGTTATATCGCGGCGGCGGGAGCGCGCCAAATTCCTCCTCGTGAATCGCCGCTGCCGAGTGTCTCGCGATATATACAGAAAGAGAGAGAGAGAGAGATACCTCGTAAATAAATATTAATAACGCGGCCGGGACGCGAATGGATTTCTATGTTTTCACG